AACACAATCTTGAATATAGTTCTCAATTCTCTTGCACATAAATCTTTTCCAACACTTTAAAAAAATTTTAAAAAATTTAAAAAAAAGGACCTTCTGCCTTTAGATACTGCCTGAAAAAGTAATTTGGCAAGGGGAAAGATTTGAAACATTTTTAAATACAAACAAACATTTCTGTACTGCAGTTTACAGTCTTTTATGTTTCTTTCAGCCACACCTTCAAACAACAGAGAACACTGAATTACTGGGCTGACAGAAAAAAAGGTTTGATGAAACATTAAGCACACTCGATGGGTGTGACTGATAGCAAATTTAATTGCAGTTTCTCCTCCAATGCATTCATATGATTGCAATAGCTGAATTAATACAGAAAAACCTGCTTTGCTTACCAACTCTTCACTCCAAGGTAGAAGAAGTGATGACCTCCCCTAGCACTAGCTTCCTTCCAATTAAAAAAAAAAAACAAAACCCACAAAAACTATTCTGTTTTTCTCTTTACATCATGTAGAGAAGAATTCTTAAATTATTGGTCCCGGGCATCCTAAACAAAATACACTTAATGTGGGCCATATTCCTCCATATTATTGGGGGAATGTGTTGAAAAACAACTGCAAAAACCAAAGGCTTGCCAAGCAGCCTCTTGACATTTGTGGGATATCACAATATGTCCCTGTTTGGAACCTGCGGTCCTTCTGACATCTGCTTGCCCCAAAATGCCACACTCATGAACTTACTCATTTGCAGAAGTAAGTTGTCTGACCAATGTCTCTAGGAGTGGGTGGCATGCTGCTGTGATGTCAGTGATCACTGAAGCAGTCAGTTTTGGTTTCAGTGAATCACCTTGGGACACCTACAGGTAACTTTAACAGAGGTAAGAATCACGACCTTCAGGAAAGATGCACACAGGTTCTCTGATGAGCCTTTTTGCAGAAAGAGTCACTATCAAGCTGTGCTCTATTCTAGGACTACGTCATCGTGATGTTATGAGGCTCAAAGAGAGTTCTATGATCATAGGATCCCCTCTAAGGCTCACCAGCCGCTTGGAAGACACAGGATCTGCTTCACTACACGAGGCAAAAGTCTCTTTGCCAGTGGGCCAGCTGACTTCCTAAGGAGAGCTTTAAACTGGAAATTATGGGGGAAGGAACAAGAAGGCTCAGGATAGGGTAGGCAAGACAGGAGCCTAGGATGGTGAGAAGAGAAAGGACACTGCAATTACAGCAACCGAGCTGAAGTGAACTCCTTCAAGCGCAGGCATGTAAAGAACAAAGTGCTGGCAGAATGGCCTGTGGGGAGAGTTCTCAAGTCTGCACAGTGGAACCGGCACACTTGGATGCCCTTCAGAGGCCACTACTCTGATATAGGCAGCAAGGGGAACAAACAGGAGGAATTCAAAACCTGTGTGTAACGACAGGATTACAGTCTCCCTGGGATCACACACAAATGGAGTGCTGCGACAGGAGTGCTGCGACAGGAGGATAGAGGCTCTTCAGGAAGGCAAGGAGAGGTGTTGCCCTTTACATGAGAGAGCAACTGGAAAGCACAGAGCTTTGCCTTGGGACAGGTCAGGAGTCAGCTGAGAGCATTTTTGTCAAGATTAGTGGCCAGATCAACACACATGCTGCTGTACTGGTTATCTGATAGAGATCTCTTGATCAGGAGGAAGTAGTAGATAAGGCCTTCTTCACACAACCGGAAGAAGTTTCATGTTCACAGGCCCTGGTCCTCATGAGGGACTTAAGCCACTCCAATACCTGCAGCCATCTGAACACCACTCCCTACTCCTTTTTTACTGTGAGAGTGGTCAAATGCTGGAACAGGTTGCCCAGAGAGGTTGTGGAGCCTGCATCCTTGCAAATATTCAAAACCTGATTGGTTTTGGTCCTGGGCAACCTGCTCTAGGTGGTCCTGCTTGAGCAGGGGCATTGGACTAGTTGATTGCAAGAGTTGCCCATTCTGTGATCTTGTGACACTTAGCCCTATTTAACTTGATTCCTCATATATATAAAATACAAATATAAGCCCTTACCAGTGAACATATGCATTGTGGCTTCATTCTTGACACAGAGCCCTACTGCAAACCCATTATCTCCAACTGAGTGGTCTCACTGAGATCAAATTTAGCAAAGCATGCTTAGGATTGTGGCCCAACAGAGTCATTTTCCTAACCATACATTTTACTTCACCTTTGTTTATTCAAAGGATCTCATTTGTATTAAAAGAGCTTCCATTTAATACAGAAGGTCAAAAGATTCACTGAGCTATTATTTCAACAAAAAAGCTTCTCCCAGATTGAAGTTATACTAAAAATTTAAGCAATGTAGATGGAAACAGTAGTCAGTATAAATCAAGCTAAAAATTCCATCTATGCTTTTTTTCTTTAAGTTTCCCAACATGATAACATCTGTCCAACAGATATCCAGTATTTAGTTGCCAATGTCATGAAAATGTTCCATATCACCGCAAATGTATACCAGTGAAGAATTCCAGAATTTGTATTTATACTGGATGCACAACAGAGTCTCTATAGACAGAGTAACATTTTAACACATCTTTCAAAAGTGGGGATTCTATTGTTTGCCATCTCTGGTGAATTATAACATCAACTCTTCATTATTCTTCCTGAAACACTTCAACCCGCTACTGCTCATCCAAAAACTACCCTGCACCTGACACCACAAGACATTATAAAACTACCTTCAACTGCAGCATTTAGTTGTGAATGTTTGGTAAGAGGGACCAGGAAAGCACTAACACCTCACAGGCTGCAGTAACAACACTAACGGTAAAACAACTACTGCAGGAAAAGAGATTTCAGTAGCACAGTTTCTCATTTCCTGCTCTTGGTTGGCAGAAGGCGATACATGTGGAGCAATTTTGGATTTTGTCCGAGATGTGTTGCACACTCAGCTTTGAGAGGGAAAACACTGCAGGGTACTACATGTTAAAATCCCTTTAAGCAACATCAATTTTACAAAACCAGATTCCAAATTAACTGCTTGCCTGGTTATATGACTTTTTCACACAGAACACGAAAATTTTGTGCTGCAAAACAGAGAGAGAAGGCACAGTGTGGAAAATAAGAAGTCACAAAGCATAATTGATAATAAAGGTGAAAAATAAAGAGATGAAGAAGAAAAAAGCAGCAATTCCAACCCACCGATTACATTTAAGGTTCTAGATTGCAATTTCAACAATAAATTCTCAGTTGAGGTAAAGAAACATAACAGCAAACTGCTCAGCATGTTTTCATCTCATTTCTGACCATGACGCAGGCACTTTTGTCACACAAAATTCATTACAGGACCAGTGTCTCTGTTTTTATAAAGTGACTGAGGTCACAAGTTCTCCCAACAGGCAACTAGGCTTCTGGACAAAAAAGGGACTGAAAAAGTGTGGAAGAATACAAAGAACTTCACTTTTTCTTAAGTGAGAAAATGCTATGAAATGAACATACAGTAATGAAAAAATATTCGTAACTTTATAATTCTTTGACGCATTTCTCAAAGCAAAACTACACCCTTCCTCAGAAAGGCTGCCCTAACTACTCCAGGTTTTCCACCTTGGATGCTACAGATGCACTTCTCAGGAACATGAAAACTCAGAAGTGCACTAACAGCCTATTACAGTACAACCTAAAGTATATATTGTCCTTGGGGGAGACCTATAAATGACCCCGTTTGAGAATAGTCTTTTATTTCTTTCACTGTTACCTAGCATGAATACATAACTTCCTCAGAAAAAAAAGACGCCTACTTAGATTATTAAATGGCTTTCCAGGCACTCACCATGGTAAGGTTTGCCAAAACTTAATACAGCTGCGACTTCTGAATTTAGACTACATTTTGCTAGTATTTTAAAAATAAGTATCAGATTTATTTGTTGTGAAAGATGGAAGACGAATCTGAACAACATCCACGGAATGATAAATCTCCCTTTTCTATTTATCTCTGAAACAATCCATATACTGCATTGGCTTTTTTTCCTTTTATTTGTATATTTTCCAGGTCCCATTCTAATAGTCAGAATGCACAAATCTGTATCTGGTCACAAACTTTATTAGAACTCTGTTGAAATAACAGAATTTCAAATAAATTACATTAAATAATGAGGGAGTTAAATGATTCTACGCTGAACCACTGACTTCTTGGCAGCTATGTTTAAGTGCCTGAAGGAGTAACTATATTGCCTCTGATAGCTTAGTTTAAAGCAACGAAAACCCTAAGTCCCTAAAATTTTAAGAAAATAGCAGCAATGACATGCAGACTCCCAGGGAAAGGATGAGTAAAGCTTCTGATCCATTAGGAGAATGCAATAACCATTTTTAAACATAGTTAAAAGACATTCAGGACTAGCAATTACAGTAACAATTTTTGCTCTTTCGGATTGTCCTCCTCTCCCTGCTCACACGTTGTGTTCTGGGTGCCATTTTTCTTCAAAAATTAAGATAATTTTAAGATGTGACAACCAACATTCCACAACAGGGACACACTACATGGATATCTATGACCAAAAAAAAAAAGTGAGCAGGCAAAAAGTTTTTCAGGGGAACCATAAAATGCAATTACCATTGTTCTTACCATTTCTAACTCATAGAGCCCAAGTGACCTGGGAGAGTATCTAATGGAAAACAGCACTCATAACAATAAATTAGCAATTATGGAATGCTGACAATGCATTCCCAGATTGCTTTTAAGTATGAGGTGTCCCGTCACGAATTCATTTCAGGACACAATACAAGAAGGATAAATCTCAAGGAGAACAATCTTAAGTCTCGATACACTGACCAATTTCAGCCTCAGGTGAACATAAAAGCAATAGCCATATATTCTAATTAATGATAGTTCAGATATTTCAGAGCAGAACAGGTTTAGACAAAAGCATAAGAAGCCAAAGTATAAAGACTGAGCTGACAGAAAAGCTTGCTTTTTTCCAGATTTCTTAGCTGCCATTTTCATACTTTTGCAGCAGATAAATAACATCAACTGAAAAATAAATCCTACCTGTTTCCTCTTTTCAGGCGGAAGGGATGGATCCCCATCCTACAAATAAATAGACATATTTTATTGGCAACTTATTTCTGAAGCCAGTAACTATGTTAACTCTGTGGATCAATTTTTAAAACACATATTTTAAATAAAATGTTATAAAAATTGTTTCTAAAATACTTCATCTTGATTAATACCAGTAATATTAATTTCAACTCAGAAATATCAAAGGCTGAAGATTTGTTTACATTTCCAGAACAGCAGGTCATTACAAATTTATGTGGCATTATTTTTCATAACGGTACATTAAGTTGCTGTGGAATAATAATACCGCAGTCAGTTTTTAAATGGAATTATGACTGAAACTAATTTCCTCAGAGCACACACTGTCTTTCTATGTCTTACATAACAGGCACTACCTCATCAATGCGGAACAAATGAGTAATAACATGATCAGGGCTATACAACTGCAGGACTACTGTAAACAAGTACCTAAACATTTTTACAGCAGTCATTACGGACTTCTTTACTTTTTCTCTGAGGTGCAGCCTAGTCCCCAAAGTACACAGTATTCATAAAGAACAACCTACAATTAGCTCACGATACTTCTTTTTCAGAGACTGGTGTCGTTCCCGCAACTGGTTGGCCATAAGCTTGTACTGGTCTCTTTCTTGTTGACACGTGTCCAGCTCTTTGGAAAGGATCAGCAGTGCCTCCTTTTTACTTTCAAGCTTCCTTTTGCACACCAGATACTGCAGAAGAGAAAAAAATAACATAACTGTAATAAGCCATTTCTACCCTGGCCAGTACTGCATTCAAGAGGCTCAAGTTTTTCTCAAAAAGATACAGGAAGACTCTCTGCACAAGATCAGAGTCTGCCATGGTCGTCTTAGCTTACTTGTAACAATCACGGGAAAGAAATCTGTTGTATCAGAAGCCTGAAATCCATTTTTAAGGCTACATGCTGACCCGACCACTGTGACTTAGAGAAATTCAGCAATTTAAGTTTTTTCAATTTTTCCTCATATGCAAACCCCCTTTTCTCCTTTTGTCCACAATACCCAGATCTCGGGTAGCAACAAGCAGTTCCCACCTTTCCTCCTGCTCCTCCCTGCTACAAACAGTGTCCTCGGGGCTCAGCCTCTCCCCTGGAGAGCAAAACAGGACCATGTTACAGCAGAAGGCAGCAGAAGGGGTAGCATGAGCAGCAACCAAAAGTTACGCTGAGCCTGAAAAAATTAAAGTGTGATACTCTATGGGCACATGTAAAAGAAACAATTCAGCCATGATACTAAACACGCTTGTTGAGCGAAAAGAATGAGAATGCAGGAACATTGCAAACACCTAAGTGGGGAGGGAAGGCAGCCCCTCTAGCCACTGCCTCTTGTGCCCAGGCCTCACGCACAAAGCAAAGCAGAACTTGCAAATCTGAGCTGCTCTGCATTAGCCTGAGCTGCTTCCCTGCCCTTCCCCATGGAGACAGTAACGTGTATGTCATCCTTTGCTGCCGCAGCTCACCGTTACCTGCCAGAAGTTTAAGGTAACTTTTTTGCACTTAAGCGATGTTCAATCAGCAGATTCTTCCTACCTGTCACTTGACACTGCTCATGCCAAATCAGATATATCTATTTCTGATGTTACTTACATAAGATGTGGCACTAAATACTTTCTGAATGTGCTCTGCTAGAGACCAAATATCACAGCAGTCGTGAAAACAATTTATAGTTTCATTATATACTCTGACAAGAATACTTTGTCATTACAGGCTCCAGCACAAAGCAAGAGCATCAGCACTTCCATACTGTTCAAGTCAGTGCTGTTCTTCGGGACAAAAATCATCACCCGTATGTACTACTTGCTTGGAATTGACTTTGTTAACCTCAGTTTCAAGTCAATGAGAAAGGGAAAAGTGAGTTTAGTATATTAGTACAGCCAAGATTTTCCAAAAATGGTAAACGCTTACTTGCAAAAAAGCGGGAAGGGAATGAGACAAGCAATTCAGAGACGGATTTGACTCTCAAAAAGGACATTTCCACCTTGGATTAATTTTATTTCTGGCAATGCTGAACTTGAAATCATGCCATAAATTTTCTGGATTACGATGCCTTGGCATCAACAAAGGCAACTGTACCTATGTACTTATGTCCTTACTGATACTTTACACAAATGTCAAGTCCTCTGATAAAGCTCTGAAAGGTATTAGAAGCTAAACTTTAATATTGTCAGCAAGCGATTATAGTGACATGGTAAAGTGCTTCAAACTTGATAAAATAATTCCTCCCCTTACACCGAAATATTTTCCTTAGACAATTTCCTTTTCTTCCAGTTTCATCTCACATCTTAGTCAATTCCGAAGCACATGGTTACTAAATTGTTTTAAAGTACTAACAATCTGATACAATAATGGCAAATAAAACTGAGTAAAAGCAAACCTCACAATTGCTTGGAAAAAAAACCAAAAGAGCCCAACCACCCCAAGCCAAGCAGCCAGTTCCTTTAACCACCAGGAAGAAAGAGTTGCCCTATCCTGCCAACACCTACGTGGAGCAGAACCTATTCAATGCACACAGCGGGTGGGGAGCAAAGCTAAACATCTCACCTGGGGACACGCACACCACGAGCAGACGCCTCTGAGCCTGGCCACAGGCGCTGCCACGTGAAACTGCGAAGGAGAAAGTCAGAGGCTAACTGGAGCTTGTGGATAAGACTATAAAAAAATAATACTCATCAGGGAAGAAATGCAGACCTAGTGCTGAAGACATCTGGCTTCTGCCATGAGGCACAGCTCTCCGCAAAGGACAGATGCAAAGCAAAAGAGACTCACAGCAGCGCTGCCAGGGACACGGGAATTCTACATTATCTATTAGGCTGAGGATAATGAAACATAAACAGACTGTGGGGATAGTTGTGTTCAGGATCTAAACGAAAAGGAATAATGATCTCCTCCTTGTTTTTTAACTTGATGAATTATATACTGATGATGTGTCGTGTGTGAGGAAGGGGCCTGGTTATCTATCATCAGTGTATTGTTTGGATTTTACTATAAAAATGACCACCTAGAAGACTTGTTTTAAAGCCATTTTTGCCTTTTGCATATACTGACTTTACCAAATAAATGGGATAAAAATAATAATCTACAGTACTTTGTTTCCATGGGCTTATGGCATAAGAAACAATAAAGCCACAGCTTTTCTGTGGAATTTGATTATTCAACAGAGCTACATTTCCAATTCCCATAACCATTTTTTAAGGAAAAACAAATTATACAGAGACAGATCTCAAAGAAGTTATTCATTATATATGCTTCTGAATGTTAAAAAGGCCATAAACTCCCAGTAACTGTACACCAGATACTGATTCTACTCAGGGAAACAACTGAGTCACACCAAGCATTTCTCATATATGGACAAATACGTGCAGCAAAACAGGTGTGCTTGCAAAAAGAACATAGGAGTTTAACAGTCTTTTTGGAAAATTTCCTCATACAGTCCAAGACAAGCATCCATTAAGTGCTTTTGGTATTCATACGCAAATTTTTCCTCTGCAATTGAAGGAAAGCCTACCTCTCACATACTATCCAGAAGACAAGTGGATTCTGTTATACGCTGCAGTTACTACGAAACATTCTTTTTGTCCTTTGTTTATTTTTAATTGATATTCCAAAATAATCTTTGAGTTTAAAAAACAAAGTTAACCAAGAACCAGCTGCTATACTTTCAATCTAAAAGCTACAATGTACAACTTTTCATATCTGTCTAGTGACTTTTATCTAACAATTCGCTGTTATCTGCAATAAAGCAAATTATAATTGCTACAAGGAAGATCATAGTAATTAAAGGAATATATATGACTTTCTACATTACTGCCTGAACTGCTTTACAGCCAGATAACTGCTTTAGTGAAATTGAGTAAAAAGAGACTGACATTACAGGAGAGTGTAACTGCTCCAAGGTGACCCTCTACATAGAACACTTACTATTTGTCCATTGCTATTTTTAGTGACAAATCTGGATAGATCTCATTAACAACGCTGTAGACATGGTCTAATAATCTGATGAAGCTGGGACACTGTCAAGGTTTTAGACTTTCTTTTTTTAAAACAACAAACACAGCAAATTCTTATCACAAAATAATTTATTTTAAATTTGAGCAAATTACTGGCCTATACTTGCATATTTAATAGCTATTAGTGCCAACAAAGAAAATATCTAATTTTCTGAGGGTAAAATCAGAGATACTATCTCCAAATCATGCTTTGGAATCACTGTGGATGATATTTTATGTTCTCTCAACACTCCACAACCAAGTGTCCTCCCAAAAACTGATGGGGCACCATTGTACATGGGTCTGGGATTGTCCACCATGCTCTCAGAGAAACCAGGAACTCTACTCACCATCTTTTGGCCAAGAGATTGAACTGCTGCTGAACTGCCTGAATTTTTATCAAAGTTCTCCTCACTGTACTCTTGAAGGCAATTTTGTTGTGGAAAGGGCAACATCACTGTTCGGGGTGTTTGTTGACTGTTCAGTAATACTGCTTCCCTTGGCTTCATATTAAACCATTCAACTTACCTGAAAGCGTCAAGCACTCAAACCCTGGGAAATACACAATTACTGGCCCTTTGCCTGCCATCTCATCTCATCGCATCTCATCTCAAGTCTTTATCTCTGATAAAACCTGAGACAGTGCAATGTCCTTGGCTTTATCCCACAATATCAGCTCTCTTTTTTCTGCTGCCCAGAGCTTGCTTCAACAGCTACCTCCTGACTGCTGAAACACCAAGCAGGCTGGTATCATTCACTGATGATTCAAGTGATATAAGCAGATCCCCAGAACACCACATCTTGTCTTGATGACAATATTACACCACATCATCGTCACTGGTCCTTTAGGAATCCCAATCATTTGAACACTATTTTGCAGTGTGGCCCAGACCTTAAAAATTTTATATGCTGCGCATCAGTCTCCATTTTTAATTTCTACGTGCTTGTTCTTCAACATCCCTGTGGGTATTTTAGTCTCACCTGGAACACGGAAACAGGAGAAGCAAACACCTGTTTTGCTGCCTGAAATCCCAGCGTGCAGGTCTCCAAAGCACCACTCCCAGAGCTCCTGAGAACTCTGGAGAGCAGTAAATCACAAAGCCAGCTCTTTTAGCATTTCCACATACTTTTCAAAATTACAAAGTCATTATGATGCTAACCTAATCACCTAGGGACCTCAGAGCATCCGCTTCACTTTGTTCTTCCCTACAGTCACTGGCATTTGCCTGTGTTTAGTAAAGCTCCAAAATTAGTTGCTCCAAAGCCTGAGGTCTCCTCATATAGGTTTGGTGAATTATATTTCATGCACTGTTTAAAAAGGCAATGTGACAGTTACAGAGATATAAGCAAGAAAATCTCACTTATTTTCCTTTCTCTAATCTCTTGTTGACATTAAAAAAAAAAAAAAGTGGAACCACTGGGAAAGTTATGCTATGCCAATTACAAGCAGGTTAGGTTTCTCATCCTTATGAAGAATTTATGGTTGGAACATTTAGCTATTTCAACTAGAACTACTGCTCAGTAGTTGCACATACGGTGGTAACTCCCTAAAACTCTTTCTCCAAGTTTTAACTTGGCAATTACTAGGCAAGAGAGGTCAAGAGCAAGAAGATATCACTTCTCTTTATGTTGTCAAAGACCATACACAGTTAATAATCAAGAAATAGCCTCTGCTTAAATGGAGAATAAATTTTTTCAAACATTTTAGGAGGCACAGTCACATATGAGTAGCTGTAAATAGCATACAGTAAGTGCTCTAATATGTGGGAGGTGACAGGGAAAAGAGAAGCATTTTGACATTGGATTTCATTCTAGAAATTGGCAAATCTGAGGGAGAA